GTATTTAAGAGCTATTGTCTAGTACTTGGATGAGATTCAGCTTCTGATTTGTTTGCTGTTTAACCTTCTGAGCAAAAGGAGATTTAGAAAAGGCAGCAACAGAAAAATCTTCAGACTGTCTATGGGGAGTGGAGTGGCTCAGTGGATGAGCTCGGTTTCAGCCTCTGAGAAGCACACACTGAAAACACTGTCAGAGGCCCCTCTGCCATGCCGCTGAGGCAGGGGTCATTTTTAAGTCCAGAGAAAGTGGCTTTGGTCAGTGAGCAGCAAGACTGTTTGCAGCCATCTGATGGCTACTGCTTTCAGACTGCAGATTCTTATATTTGCCTTTTGTAGGTAAGTGATATTTCGTCAAAATCTTGATGAAATGAAGTTGTGAATGTCTTTGCCACCAGAAGAAGGTCACGAGACTATAAATTTAGTTGTTTGTTTCAGAGGGGGAAATGGTGTAAATAGCATCGCCTCTAAGTCAGGTGGATGGCAGAACAAAACTGAAATTCTGTAGATGGAAGTGTTTGGTGGAATTCGGTTTCGAACAGCCTGGTGAAGTACAGGCACCCTGATCCTTTAGTAGTCTTTGTTTTTAAATGATGTATTATGGCAGTTAGCAACTCATCAGCATTGCACTGCAGTCAAACATCTCAATTCACTTTTTTAACATCCTCTTTTAGACTTCTGTATTAAAAAGAAAAAAAGGGGAACTAAGTCATGTGTGCGTCAGGTTTTTTTCCACGCAGACAGCAGTGAAGAAAGAGCATGTAAGAATCTGTTCTCTTGCAGCAGCTGTACTGGGAGAGTTCTGGGCGATGTGATTATCCACCTCTCTTACCCAGCTTGGACTGGTAAGTGCGGGCTTTTTTGTGCCCTTTTTTTTTCCCCTTATGCTTTGTTTCAGAATGCAGGCACCATTTACTTTATGTGAAGGAGAGCAGTTTTGCTAAGATCACAGTATTTTAGCTCCACACTAGCACTATGAGCGTTTTCAAAGCAATACATCAAAATTCTTAAGCGTGTAAGGATCTGGGTAGCTGTGTCCTGTTTTTCAGAAGCAAATGAGGCAC